TAGAAAATTTCCTGGTGTTTTTTATCAGAGAAAATATTCAGATCTTTTGGACTAGATATTTTCTCTGATAAATTTCACTAGAAAATTTTCCGGTGTTTTTTGACTAGAAAAACCCAGATCCTCGTGACTAGATTGTTTTCTCTGATGATTTTCACCAGAAATTTCCTTCAGATTTTTTTCACTTGGAAATTTCCTGATGTTTATGACAAAAAAAATACCCAGATCTTTTTCACATGAAAAACTTATATTAAAGGATAAGATATCATAATAAAAATGGAACCTGATTCGATAAATAAATCGAATGTAGTCAATAAAAATAAAAATATTTTGTATAATAAAATGGAATCGAATAATGAAAATGCAGAACGGAATAATGGTTCTGCAGAACAACAGTCTCCCTTTGAAAACTGGAGCAGAGTGGCTTTATATAGTCAATGTAAATCTCTAAATATCAAAGGTTGTTCAAGACTGAAAAAGGAAATGATGGTAAGAAAGATTTTGGCTCGAGAAGTAATCGATAAAATGTGCAAATACTCTCGAGAGCGACTATCATTATTAAGAACAACTGATTTAAGAAATATGTGCAAGTCATTGTACATAAATAAAGGATGTTCTAGAGACACAAAAGATAAATTAATAAACAGAATAACTGATTGGTTTTTGAATTCGAATATTGAAGACATATTTACTTTTGAAGATGAAATATTGGAAAAGCCGAGAACAAGAGTCAATAAAATAAAAGCTGAACATTTTAAGGAACTACCAAGTTGGTATGGAGACGATCCGGATGAGGTTAGAATATTCCGAGGAAGTGGAGCGTTTAATGATTTATTCGTTGATTACTTTGTTTATTGTGATTCTCATCAGCTAGATTTAGTAAATTTTTTCGATGCTGTACGAGAAAAAGTCTCTCAACTTTTTAAGAGAAACGCAATACGATTGAAAAGTGTAAAATTCGTCCTAAACATAAAAGCTCAATATCATGAGATAGATCTCTTCGGAAATATAGTCAAGTTACATCATCATTACTTTCATTCACAAGGTCATAAAATACTTGCAAGCACTAACATTACAGATGAGATAAAGATAGCAGAAAATGAGATACTGCAAAAATTCTCTACGTTTAACTTAAAAAATAGTAAGTACCGATTCGATAGAATAGTAAAATTGGATATTATGTGTGACAAAAATAATCGATTAAGAGGAGGCACGTACGTTGAGTTACCAAAATGTATTCGGAATAAAAAATGCTGTATAAATGTGAAAAATCTGAGAACAAATAAATTCAAATGTCTGAAACAAGAAGATAATAGATGTTTCGAATATTCACTAGAGAGTTTGCTTAACCCGGTGGAGAAAAAAGCAGAGCGAGTCTCTAACTATGATATAACAAAATATGAAATACTAAAAATGGATTATCCATTAGAGCTTACGGCTGCTAACATCGAGAAGTATGAACACCTTTTAGATGCATCAATCAATGTGTATGGTTATGAAGACTTTATATATCCAATTCATGAAAGTGCGAATGTGCGTTCCGGAAAAAAACACTTTAACCTGCTTAAGTATGAAAATCATATAGTCGGAATAAAAAATGTATGTGCACTCTTAAAAGGTCAAACATTCAAAAAGAAAGTATCTTACAATTTTTGCGAAAAATGCAATAAAAAATTTGAAAAAGAAAAGCTATTTGAAAAACATGTTGCTGAATGTATTAACAAGGAAATTATTATTGAAATGCCAACAATTGAAAATAATATTTTGAAGTATAAGTCGAACGGGTCGGAACAATTTCATCCATACACACTAATATTGGATTTTGAATGTACCTTGGAAAAAATTAATGAAGAAATCACGGAAACAAGTAAATATATTCAAAAACACGAGGTTAATAGCTTCAGTTTTACATCGATTGATGGAACTGAAGTTGTAAGATCATGCAGTGAGGAAATTTTAGAGAAAAAGTTTATAGAATGTTTAATAAGCCACGGAAAGAGATATAACGACAAAATCAGGAGAAAGAAAATTATTTGGGGTACCAACGGTTGGAATAATTACACTGAGGCTACAAATTGTTATATTTGTAATAAGATCTTCGATTCTGAAAATAAAAAAGTAGCAGATCATGACCATATCACGGGTAAATACAGAGGAGCCGCTTGTAATAGTTGTAATTTGAACCTACAATTACCAAAGTTCATTCCTGTTGGAATTCATAATCTATCTTACGACTCAAAAATCTTCCTACGGTGGTTAGTTAACGACGATAATGGTTATGACGTAAATATAATACCACAAACAAATGAAAAGTTCATAACATTTTCAAAGAAAATGAAAGTGGATCAGTACAAACAACTATACGATTTTACTTTTTGCAAAACTTGCAAAAAACGCTTTAAAAACAAAATAATTGAAAAATGCACAAACTGTGAAGAAGAGAAGAACCTAATTTTTAAGAGAAAAGATGAAGTTATAGATGTTATTATAGAATTTAAATTCATAGACACATACAGATTTATGAGTACCAGCCTAGAGAAGGCGGTAAATAATTTGGTTGGGGTTAATAATTGTTTTTGCTCAAAGTGCCAAACAGCACAAGAAATAGAAGCACTAGAATATATACCTATTGATAATAACGGTGTATTGAAAGTGCAAGGTACATGTAAAAGATGTGGTAAGTCAGTCCAGAAGGTAGTAGACTACTCTAAGTTCAAACAACTGTGTAAAGAGTTTGAGACTAAAGATTTACACCTACTCTTGCGTAAAGGAGTTTATCCATATGAATGGGTTGATAGCTTTTCAAAATTTAGTCAGCAGCTCCCACAGAACAAAGGAGATTGGTACTCAACTTTAAATGATAAAAATGTATCAGAATCAGATTTAAAGCATTCAGTAAAAGTTTATAGGCATTTTGATTTCAAGAACTTCGGTGAATATCATGACCTGTACCTAAAACTGGATACAATTTTGCTAAAAGATACATTTGATAATTTTAGAGAAACATGTTATAGAAACTATGGCTTAGATCCTGTATACTATGTTTCCGCGCCAAGTCTTACAATGGCTGCTGCATTAAAGGACACGAAACAAGAGGTTGAATTACTAACTGATGCAGGTCTTTATGAAATATATGAGAATGGTATAAGAGGAGGAATGTCAATGATTCCTCTTAGACATGCAGAAGCAAATAACTGTTACTTTTATGACGGGGAAAACCCAGTCAAGTTATCTGAAGAAAAAGCCAAAGAACGAGGTATTTGGAACAGTAAAAAACATGTAAGTTTTATTATGTACTATGATTGTAATAATTTGTATGGAGATGCAATGAGTAAACCTCTACCAATAGGAAAATTTATAAGTTATGAAAAAAATCCAGAATTGTTGGACCGAAAACCATCAGACTTCACTGAGAAGGTAATCCTAAATTTGAAGGATGATAATGAGATTGGTTACACTTTCATCGTAGACTTGGAGATTCCTACAGAACTCCATGATAAATTTGCAGATTTTCCGATGTTACCGGAAAAGTATGTCCCAGAATTGGATGAATTATCAGAGTACCAAAGACATCTGATTGAAATTGGAATCGGCAAAGCTCCTAATCCTGAAGTATGCAAACTAATAAGTACTCTTAAAGAAAAGAGGAATTATGTTGTTGACTATAGAATGTTAAAAGAATGCTTGAAGCAAGGGATTGTATTGAAAGAAGTAAAAAATTATATACAATACGAACAGGAAGCCTGGCTGAAGCCTTACATTGAAAAGAACACGCATTTAAGACAGTTAGCGAATAATGATTTTGAAAAGGATTTTTACAAGGGTATGAACAACGCTTTGTACGGGAAACAAATGCAGAGAATGCGAGATAGATGTCAAGTGAAGTTGATACGATCAAAAGATATTGCGGAAAAATATTCTGATTATGAAAGTAGGGAGATAATAAGTGACAACATGGTTTTACTGTATAGGAAAGAACCTAAAATAAAACTAAACCAACCAATTTTCGGAGGCTTCGCGGTCTTAGAGCTCTCAAAAATATTGATGTTTCAATTTTGGTATAACTTTCTACAGAAAAAATACGGAGATAAAATCAAATTACTTGGAACTGACACTGATTCTTTGATTGTGTACATTGAAACTGAGGATGTTTACGAAGATATGAAGGAGTCGATCGAGTATTTTGATACTTGGGATTATAAACTCAAAGGAATGCCGTGGGAAAATAAGAAAGTCCCAGGGAAATTCAAGGATGAATACTTAGGAATACCGATCAGAGAGTTTGTCGGATTGCGCTCTAAAATGTACGCATTCAGAAACGATGTAAAAGAAAAGAAGGTTTGCAAAGGAATCCGCAAAGTAAACATTGAAAAAATGAAATTCTTCCAATATAAAAACGCGTTGTTTAATAATCAAACAACACATGAAAAAATCCATAATATAGTCTCCCGAAGACTGAAACTATACACAGAAGAAAACATTAAAGTAGCGCTATCTCCATATGACGATAAAAGATACTTAGTGGACAATATCCACACGCTGCCATTCGGTTGTTTGAAAATCGAACGTCGTAATTCTTCGCCATCAGCAAAAACTTAGTCTGTTATTTACGAATTCTATCGATTAAATGTGATTAAGACCAACTTGGATGAAGTTTTCTGTCGATCGTTGGTTTGACATGTTTACCAATAGCTTTATCTGTTTTATATACCCCAATAATCAATCACACAAATTTGCTTTCCGGTGGAAATCAAATTGGATAGTGTTCAGTTCATTACGAAGACAAATTTTAAAGTTTTGATAATTGTAATTCTTCTTCGTAAACAGTGTCTGTTATATCTTCTAAAAAATAATAGTTAACGTTAGATCGCATCACAGTCTTAACGGTGAAAATTTCTTTGGTCCAGTTTGCTTTCAATTTACTTTTGAAAAGGTAAGTGTGCGAGGATAATCGGACACGATCACCGACCTCAAATTTAGGGCGAGCAGTTGTGATTCTATAGTTGTAAACAGTGGAAAGTAACAAGGCTTCATTCTCCTTGGTGACTTCAATCGGCTTCATTTTTATGGTTCTATGGAATGTATTATTATACGTTTTGATGATGTTAGGCAGGGCATCAACCCATTTGAGATCATGATAGATTACAGGTTTCAGTTTATCCCCTATGGTTCTGTTGAATCTCTCAACGATAGAGGCTTTTTTATCACCACCTGTGCTGTACATTTCGATTCCTAAACCATCGAGAACCTTCCTGACGTCTTTGTTAAAAAATTCTTTACCCATATCACATTGCAATTTGAGCGGTTTCCTTTCTTGGAAAATCTTCGTAAGAGCGACTGCTACTTCTGGACCTGATTTGGTTTTCAAAGGAACGATCCATGCGTATTTCGAAAATGTATCAATTATCTGGAGCATGTACTTGTAACCATAGTTTACGTTCGTCAGATTCCTAAAATTGGAAGGTTTGGTCTCTCTGCGCTCATGTCTGAAATTATATGCAGGATCCTCTGTTTTACCCTTCGATCTGTAAAACACATAGATATCCGCCTGCCATGTATCATCGATTCCTTTCTGAATGTAATGTCTGGTCGGAAATTTTTTCCTGCTAAGTTTGAATAACTCCGAAAGTTCGATATCTTCGGGAGATTTTGATGCATTGTTTTTGGTGGAGTTACAACTTCTGCAAGTGGATAATCTCCTCCACCTTTTCTTTTTCTCAACGAACTTCGGTTCTCCGAGACTTTTGGTACTCATTTTACATTTTCTACAGTAATCCATTATTTATTATTACATTTTTCACGGATTATATCCATGAAAAAACTTAATGTAACTCACAAAACTTCCTCCAAATGGTTCTTAAAGATATCATACCGAAAGTGTTTAGCGGACACTAAAACAACATAGCACATGGTGCCATCAGATATAAGGGATGCGTCAACATTTTTACTGAAGTCTACATGTACGATAATGTTGCTTCTAGAAGAACCAATTTTATCGGGTTGTCTTGTTAAGTCTATTACAAATATAGGGCGCTCTTCAACAAATTCTTTCTTAGATAACAAATTAGAAGAATCTCTATGGAAAACGCGTCTGTAGTCTTTAAACATATCGAACGCTATCAAGTATTCTTTGCTTTCGAAGTTTAGATCTGTTAGCTCTTCGGGATACTTTTTGCCATTCAGTTCTATGTAAATGTTTTTTACATATGAATGATCAAAATGCGAAGCATCTTTGAGCTGATCATTCAATCTATCTGTTTGAAAACAGACAAAACCGAAAACTGGAGCACTAAGATTCCGGAAGGAATTGGTGACATCAAAGTTTAAAGTATTTCCAACAACATTTTTATGTTGTACACATTGCCAGGTTTTATACACTAAATCATAGGCACCACACTCGTCTAAAGATTTGAGCAGTTGGATTTTAGTGTTTTCTTGATATTCAACAATGGGTACTCTGATATAAAAGTTAGTGATTGTGATTTTTCCCTCGGATGGTAAACTATCATCTGCAACTGTACCATCAGATTTTTTAGTTTTCCATCTATAGATAGCATCATCATCATCGTTCCTCACAAAGGTTATCTCGAAACCACCTCTGTATACGGGCACCTTTACATCCTCGAAAAAGCCGAGCCCTAAATCGGCCAATTTCCCCAAAGCATAAAACTTTCCACCTCCCACATAGTCAGAAATCAAACCTGATGCTTCTGACACGCTATTGTGATCTTTAGTATAATTTATGTATTGTTTCACGGAACTGGTGACTCCTGTGTAATCACACTCATCCACAGTTTTGTTGTGCAATTTTAGAATTGCTGAGGTGAACAAGTGAGCAGGGAAATTGTCTATTAATTGGATGTTTGACTTTGCTGCATAAGACCCACCGTCTTTCTTTGTTAATTCGCCGAACATATAGAACTGGAAATTATTAGTAGAGAAATTATCTCCGTATTCGATTTTGAAAACTGTTTTTTGATTTGGTTTGTTCAAATTTAATGTAGAAATAGGATAAAAGTTTTTATACTCACATCGTTCTATTCCATCTGAAAACTTATTAAAAATCGATTCACTCATTTATATTAACGGAAAGTTTTTTTTTATAATTAAAAATGTCAAAATTTGTGATATCGCCAAATTGATGACCTTCCGATAATCTCTTCAAGACATATAGACTTAAATGTCCACAAATCGCTGGATCACTAAAATTTTGGCTAGGTTCGATATTCTTGTTATACTGAAGTTTAGTTTTCCCTAAATACCTGACTAATTCAATCGGTGGTTTTGCATCCGAGTATGAATCAAAATAAACCGCTGAATCACCCTTTTTGAAGTAACAAACCCAATGGGAACCCCTTTCATTCGAATTTTCCAAATTAATGACACCACACTCATTCTGTCGAGGTTTTGGGGGTAGTTCATCTTTCATGAAAACCCCACGAAAATTTTTAATTTTCCATTCAGACTTCATTTCCTCAATATCATAGTTAGTCAAGGGCTTTACTTTTTCTTTTTTTTCAATCCAGCCCCCTTTTTCGATTCCATTGCTCGGTTGTGTCTTTCGAGTTCTTCTAATTCCTTGCGTTTATTTTTGTTCGCATTATACGCGTTCGCAACAGCTGCACCGCCACCGATTAACGTGGATAAAAATCCTGCAATTGGAAGTGCCGCTTCAGCGGCTGCTGCTAATGGTAATATCAAAAATCCGCCCGAATGAGGTTGATTCTTTTTAACTCGTGCTGCGGCTTGTTTTCCATTACGCAAAGAGGTTTTTTTAGTTTTCGTAGGCATTTTATTACACAATATGGATATTTTCTAATATAAAATGGATAACTTTGGAAGGAGATGCTCAAACTTTTTGTTTCAGCACAATGATTATGAGAACGACTTAGAGATCAAAAACCAAGAGTTCAAGAAAGAATTGCAGAACGAACTAAAGATTCTGCAGAGCAACATTGACGATAAAATGTCAAAGAAAGTGCATGTTGAAACCGGTTCGGATAAAGATTTTGAGTTTGACGCAAAATTTAGAAACATGGAAAAGAACATAAATACAATAAAACTAGAATGCACTCAACACTTTCAAGCCTTAGAGAATAAAACCCAAGAGTTCAAGAAAGAATTGCAGAACGATATAAGGGTTCTGGGGAGCAATATTGACGACGAAATGTCAAAGAAACTGTCCGTTGATATCGGTTTGGAAAAAGATCATGAGTTTGACGAAAAATTTAGAAGAATTGAACAGAGTATAAACGCAGTGAAAGAGGATTTTTATCACGGGAAGATTATCAGGAACATAAATAACGAGCTCCTAAACGTCAACAAAAGGTTGGCGACATTAGAGCAACGAACGCAACTAAAACAGCTTTGAGATATAATAAATGAGCAATAAAAACCTGCGAAGTCAATACAAAATTACGCCCATCCCTCTAAAGCTGAACGAAAAGAGGGATAAAAACTGTTTATTCCCGACACCTTTACGATGTTTAATTGTTGGAGGAAGCGGTAGTGGTAAAACGACGTTGATATGGAATATAATCACAAAAAATTGGTTGATTTATAAATACTTATACATCTTCAGTAAATCAATCAATCAACCGGCTTACATTGAATTGAAAAAAATTTACACTCAAATCGAAGAAGAAATTGGGAAGGAAATTGCATTTTTTTTTAATAACTGTGAAGATATCATTCCTTTGGACGATTGTGAACAAAACAGCTTAATCATTTTTGACGACTGTATTCTTGAGCAGCAAACTTTAATCAAGGAATACTTCGTGAGAGGGAGGCATAAAAATATTTCTTGTATTTATTTGAGCCAATGTTACAGTTTGGTTGACCTTAAAACTATCAGAAATAATTTAAACTTCTTATGCATATTCAAGCAGAAAAAGCATTATGTAAAAATGATATACAACGACTTCATCGGTAGTGATGTAAAGTTCGAACGATTCCAAACGATATGTACTCGTTGTTGGAACGATGATTACGGGTTCGTATCGATTGATCTAACGAAGAAAATCGATGATGGTCGTTTGAAAACTCGATTCAATTGTCTTTCGTGAATCTCTTAAAAAATTTTCTATAATAAATATGGATCTGAAACAAGTAGAAAAGATTAAAACAAAATTGAAGAAAAAATTCCAGAGAGCTGAGGAGCTGGATATTCTAGCGCAGAATCAAACCAATGCTGATTTGCAACGTGTGATTGCAGGGGAACAAACTGAAGAAAGTTCTGCAATGCAAAAAGTCGGACAGCCTATCGTTACTTTCGATGATGCTTCAAAAAGTCAAAAAACAAAAGCTGAATTAAAGAAAAAGTTCAAACAGGATGTTCTCAATGAAAAAAGTAAGATCGATTTTCAAAAAAAAATGTTCAAGCCTATTACTGATGCACTGGAAAAAGTTGAAACAGTCGTCAAGAAGGTTGATGAAGATATAAAAGGTACAACTGCTTTGAAAGCGCTGGAATTTCCAAGTGCTGTCGAGGTGCCAACTTTAAAGTCTTTGAAAGACAATGAAAGTCAGACAGAGAGTATCATCAATTTGGGACCACTTGCCAAAAAATATTTACCCAGGGCAAAGGGTACAGCTTTTGAACTCAGTTACGACCCTGTCAAGCAAACTTATACATTCGGAAAATATATTGCATCATTCGACTTCGATGATATCATTTTAAACGGGGAAAAATTTTCCGGAACTCCTGGTCTGTGGAGGTT